AAAAAGAGAAGGTCAAAGCGGCGCAGACGGCAGGCAGCTCGGGACCCGTGTTTGGGGTCGGACTGGTGCTATACTCGTAGAACACAGAAACAAAAAAACATAATATAATTCCATAACAACAAAAACTGAGATCCAAAGATACCCTTTCAATAAACAAGTGTGTGTTGCCTGGTTTGGACAGGAGGCAGACGGAGAGGATTGTCGGAGGCGGAATGAAGAACTAATCAACCGAGCACCAAACCACATCAGTATACCTGCAGTCAAAGTGTTTACATCCATTAATACAACAATAATGATAAATGGAAAGGAAATATAAACATTCTTTAGTGATTAATGAATTGACTGATGCAGAGGATACCACTTATGTCACTGACTCAGTAAATGGACGAGACAACGTCTTCCTCCCCGCCGAAAAGTCTGCAATCGCTTAAGATAATAAGATAAATAGATAAGTGGGCTTACTTAAATGGATCCCACATAAACAAGTGAAAGAAAAAAGTTAGTAGCAAAAATTAGGAAGATCTGCACAAATTTCGCACCAAAGTGTAGCTTAACATGATTAATCAAGAAAGAGAGAAAAAATTATACCCAGACCCATTCTGCAGGGAATAAGGCAGTTGTCTTCTGTTAGCATTTTCAAGAACATCACCCAAGCACATAAAGAAAAAGGGAATGAGTCTAACATAATCATAGCGTAAACTTTATTTGGGGATAAATGAGAAAGATAACATACCAAATGTAATCGAGAGCAAACCTAAAGAGAAAAAATAGAAACAAATTAATTTAAGAACAATATAAACAAGCGAGACTAAAAATGCGATAGAATTACAAGCCCTTCTACAATTAAAAAAAAAATCAGTTAATAAATACAAATTTACCTAAATGGATTGAACAAAGAAAATGGAGGAAACGAAGAACCTAATGGCTGAGAATCCTAATTCCCATTCACGAGCTCCGGTCGACTCCAACCTCGGCAGTTTTCGGCATCGGCGTAAAAAGGTTAGAAAACCCCTATTTTGTTGTTGTTGTACTCACGAAACAGAGATGGGGATTGAAAACCTCCATCGGATGTGCAAAAAATACATCGAATGACTGATGATTTGCGGGCGGTTTGCTTTGAGAGTGCAATTTTTAGGGTTTTCCTTTAGTTGGGTACTGAAATGGCCTCCGGAGAATGTAAAATTGGAAAGAGAAATGAGACGATAAAGATTGTGTAAACCCACGTCCCACAGGCTACACCGGAAGCTACAAACGTCAAGGTGGGATTGACAAGCGAGAGAACGCAGAAGCAGACTGACAACCGCCGAAAGCAAGCGCGTGTAAATGAACACAACTCGCGTGAGTTTGTTAAAGAAAAATGGAAAATACTGGAAATATTAAGAGAAGGGCCCACGGATATGGGCGGACCATAAATTTGAGCAGCAAAAGAAATTGGAAAAGAAAAGGCGTCTACGCTTAATTTGGATTTTTTTCCGATTAAACGACGTCGTTTTGTGTGCGTTTTGTGTTAAAATAATTAGAAATGTAATATTATTGCACTGTTCATTTGAGGCCTACATCTTTATAGTTTTGTAATATATATATATATATATATATATATATATATATATATATATTCCAGTGGCGAGTCCAGAAATTGACCACATGGTGGACCTAAATTTTCGGGGTTGAGGGTAGAGCCCCTCGAAGAAATTTTGGACTTTCTTTTGTATTACTTAGGAAGAGAAAAAAATTAAGGATTTTTTTTGCATAATTTAAATTTTAGATGGGTTAACTAATAATATATGTAAAATAATTTGTAAATGGGGGGGGGGGGGGGGGGGGGACTCCCCCCTATATATATGGGTAAAGGGCCCCAAAAAAAGAATAAGGGGGGGTCCCTGCAATTTTTTTTTCTGAGGGGGGAAACCCTAAAAACGGGGAAAATTCCGGGGGGTTAAAAATATGAAAAAAAGGACTGGACCCCCATAAATTTCCATTTTGGGCCCTTCCCCCCCTTAAAAAACAAAAAAAAAATAACCCCCCAAAAAAATATTTTGGGTTGCACTTGGCCCCGAAACCCAATTTTTCGGCGGGGATTGTGAAACAAAAATAATATTTTAGATGGACAATGTGTAGAAAAATAATGTTTTAAGGGCCAATGTGCAACAAAAATAATATCTAAAAGGGCAAGGTGCAAGAAAAACACTCATTTCCGGGTAATAATCCATCGGAATTTTACTATCAAGACAATGTGCAACAAGTATAACAATTTGAAGGGAGATGCACTTTTTTAAATTTCTACGGGGTAAAATGCAAAAATTAAAAATTTACAGGAGGTGACATGTAATTTGCCCTTTAATTGTAGTATTTAGTAGTATTTACCCCAAATGTAACTAAAATCCGACATAATGATATATCCTAGGGTTTCCATTTATTACCTTCCTTTTATCCACCCAGCGGCGCAAGGAGAAAAGAAGACAATCGGCGGTGATTTCTTATTCGCGACGGAGCAGTAATTCCACCCTGTATGTTTTACCTATTTAATTTTTTTTTCAATTTCAGTAGCTCTTTTTTTCAACTGAGACTGATTTTTCGAAACCAAACACCGGATTTTTACAGTGTTAATTATTCTGTCATTGGTGTTTGATTGAATTAATTCGGCCGTTGAAGGCAGTTGTCGTTGAATTCTATGCAGATTTGTTGTTTAAAGGAGCGAACTTTGCTTTAAGTTAAAATAATTAGTTTTACTTAACTTGCTAATTTTTAATTTTAGCTTCTTAAAATTTAGCAAGTTCTTACCTTATAGATTTTGCTGTTGTAGTGCAATTTTGGTGTAAAAAATGTAAAAATTTATGGGTAAATTACAACCACCCCTGAGGTATGGTCAATTTACGAAAAAATCCTTTTATTTGGATAATTACATCTACCCCTCAGCTATGATTTTTCTTACACCTCCACCCTTATGGTGTCAAATTCAACATAATCATCTAGATTTCGTGGAATGTGCTCTAGTTTGTACTCATTTTGTGTAAAAATACAGTTTCTGATGCACCACAATTTGATATGTATAAGGCAAAAAATAGATATTATGATCATCTTGCTTCAAAATGTTGAGTTCAAATGGGATAAAACGGGTACAAAAGTGATAATATTCCATATAATCTTGAAGATTCCATTAAATTTGATACTACAAGAAATTTGATACTACAAGGGTGGATGTGTAAGAAGATTTATAGTTGAGGGTGGTTGTAATTACCCAAAGATGAGGGGTTTTTTTTCGTAATTTGACCATATCTCAGGGGTGGTTGTAATTTACCCAAAATTTATAGGTTTACATGGTGCTGTTGCAGAAAGTCTCGAAACCGCGCATACAATCTTTCTGAGGTTTCGTCGATCGTTAAAGCAGAAGCTAACACAATGTCGGATCCTTGGGCCGAGGAGTTTGTATTCAATTTGAGATATATGAAAAACAAATATAAATCAAAAGTTCTATTTGCAGAAGCCAACAGCAACTTTGTCGACATTTTGTTAAGCTTTCTGATGATGCCATTGGGAACAATCGTGAGTGTCTTGAAGGAATTTTATGAGAAGGTCAGTATCGGAAGCTTGACGAGTTTGTACGACGGCTTATCGGATCTGCACAACGACCATTTCTTGACAGAGGGTTGTAAGAAGATGCTGCTCAATCCGAGAAGCTCCTTCGACCGGGAATGGAGTAGATTGAAACACAATGTTAATGATACTCGTCAGCCGACCGAATACTTTATGTGTGAGAACTGGCCGTGTCCCGATTCTCGCGATCTCTTAAATATAAGCATGGACTACGATATCGGTAGATGCAAGTGTGGAGAAAGCCTCAAAAAGAAAATTCGTCTTGAGTACACTGAAAAAGCGCATGATGATTGTGACGGTGGTGGAGTTTTTACCGTAAAAAATGCGTCTTTTGTCGTCTCCGATGATTTGAGGGTTGTGCCTAATGTGGAAGGATCAGTCATGGAAACTCTGAAGAATCTTGGGATTACGGAGATGGATGGAGCCGAGTTTGATAAGACACCTTTCGGACTCAATGAGGTGAGTCACTGTCCTGCTTCTGTTTCAATGATATATATTATATGGGAAAAATAGACTTTTCATCCCTCAAGTTTGTTCTTATTTCACATTTGGTTCCTCATGTTTACAAAAAAACAAATTTGGGGTCTCGTGTTTCAAAAAAAATCAACACTTTTAGTCATTTCCGTCAATTTTCCGTTATTACTAACGGAATCAAGCGTGTGCCCATCACTGCGAGTTAACGGTAAAATGTCAGAAATGACCATAAGTGTTAAATTATTGAAACATGACGGACTAAATGTGTTTTTTTGAACATGGGGACCAAATTTGAAATTGGTGCAAACTTGAGGGATGAAAAGTGTAATTTTCCCTGTATTATATTCTTGGATCTTCGTCTTACTTTTCTTTCTTCATGTTTGCATTAGTTTATGGATTTGCTGAAGGGGTCCTTTTCACCCCGGCCTCCACTGACAGAAGTCTTAATAGGCGAAAGGTGGATGGGCTTGGACCGAGAACCGAGAACTTTATTTCATGAGATGGAGAACGAAACAACTTCTAACTTTAAGAAGATGATTTTGAAAGTGATGGTGGAGAAATCTACCAATAAGTTATTGTTTGCTCAATCAAACGGAGATTTCGTTGACTTCCTTTGCAGTATGTTGACCATCCCTCTGGGAGGAGTCGAGCGTCTTTTGGGGGGTAAAACTTGTCTCGAGTACATAGACAATCTGTACAGAAGCTTAGAGAACATTAACGGGGACAAGTATCTTAAGAATCCCGATACGAAAAGTAGGCTAACGAATCCCAAGCTACCTCACGGTTATATGTCGCCAGACGGTATTATTCCTTCGAGTGACGAAATTCCTCCTCAACTATTTTACCACTACGACGCAGAAACCGGCAAGAAATGGTTGTCGGATTCGATTGAAGATAGTGGGCAGGCTTGCCCTACCGAGTTCCAGAAACACGACGGGTATTACGTTAAACGAGGAATAACTATGTACATGGTGACTGATGATTTGACCATCACTCCTTTGAATATGAACTCGAGCTTTTCGGTTCTCGATCGTCTCGACATCCCTTTATCCGATGTCGAAGAAGTGGAGGTGCAAGTTGGATTACAAGAGGTATCTAGTTTGATTCAACCAACTTCTTATGAGCGATCGCTGCTAATTGTTTCAATGTTTAATGTTGGTTGATCGGTTTTTCTTTTCTGGCGCGCAGTGGTTGAGCATACTGAAGGCATCACTGACATCCACTTGTGCACTGAGCAATGGTCTCCGGATTATTGCCAAGCCAAAACCACCGCCGCCGCCACCACCACCTAGACCTAAACCTAGACCTAAAGGTAAACCTATATACAAGAAGCAACGAATACTTCCGCCCATCTTACCGGAACAACAGGAGGAATGATCAACTGGTCGAATTCTGCTATGCCATTGTACAAATTGGTTAAATAACTTCCTTTGGGATATGTCTCTACTTTATAATGCAATTCGGGGGAAAAATACATTTTTCGTACTTCACATTAGCACCGATTGCACATTTGGTCCGATCCATTATGTTCACAAAAAACACATTTGGTCCCTCATGTTTCAAAAATTCAATACTTTTAGTCATTTCCGTTAAAACTAACAGAACCAAGTGTGTCCATCAATGACTTAACTGACAGACTAACGGTAAATTGATGGAAATGACCAAAAATGTTAAATTATTGAATCATGAGGGACCAAATGTGTTTTTTTTGTAAACATAAGGGACAAATGTGAAATCGGTGCAAACTTGAGGGATGAAAACCGTAATTTTCCCTAAAATCTTTCGGAATGGCAATGTCAGAAAAACCTTGACTAGGCTCCTTCAAAATCATTGCAAAATAGTACTTTAGTTTTTTGTTTGCTTAACATAACTTTGAAACTCAATTCAACTTCCTTAATAGTATTGTTTTGGCTTGTCTGTACAAAATCTAGAAATCTATATTTTTTCTTTTTTAATGTTATGATTTCTTTATGAAATTGTATGTAGTTTAATTAATACTAATTCTTTTTTTTTTTTTTCATTATGAAATTAAGATCACAACTTTCATACTGATGCCATTGTAGAAAATCAGAAACAAACAATGTTACAGATAAGATCACCAACGTAACAAATTGCATGCATGCATGAACAACCATAATTAGTTTTCTTGCTTAGGTTGTTTGTTCAACACTGGACTGATCTTCAGACCATCGGTCAGAGCAGAAGTCGATGTAAGAGATGCCTTCAATATACTCAAACCCTACACCACAAATCACAAGTCAACAAATTAAATCCATTAGATTATTTTATCTTATATTGGCCGGCAACCAAACGAGATATTAATCTTATATTTAATTTCATGTGTGTGTGTATATATATATATATATATATATATATATATATATATATATATATATATATATATATATATATATATATATATATATATATATATATATATATATATATATATATATATATATATATATATATATATATATATATACACTCATATATACAATGTGCACTTCAACTTCTTTAACGTCGGTCAAAGAGATATTGAGCCGGTTCAGAATAGAGAGGCTAGACGTCATACACAAAGGGGCGACGGTTAAATCATCACTCACCATATACATTGTTGCTTCTTTAACGAAATCTCCCTTCCCTTTGAACGAACCGATAATCGTAAAAAGCTTTGCACCATTGGTATTGGAAAACGACAACCACTCTTTGTTTAGTTTCAAGTCTTGATTGTAGTATATGGTTTGGTCCATGTGTTCGCCAAGAGGAAGAACCTGATTCTTGGACATATAACCTTTCGCTATATCGGGTTTCATTAGCCTTTTCTTCATATTTGGAGCTGCGAAATATTTGTCTTCGATAAGATCGACACTCTTGTACAAGTTCTCTAGACTCTTCAGACAATTAGTATTACTGCCGAAAAGGTACTGAACTCCACCGAGGGGGACAGTGAGCAAACTACAGAGAAAATCCACGAAGTCGTTTTCAGCTTGAGCAAACAATAACTTATTTGTAGATTTTTGTACCATTAGTTTCAGTTTCAATATGCTCTTGTAGTAAGAACCTGTCCCTTTACAAAGCTGATGCAATAGGGTTTCCTGTTCGAGTTCTCTTTTGATAGATTCGATCTTTCGTTTATTGAGTATGATATCAGTTAGCGGAGTAAGTGAAATCAACGACCACATGAGCAAATCCATAATCTGAGGCATAAAACAAATGTTAATTATACAGAAGAATTAACTTCGATAAATTAATAATCTCGTTTAAATAAAAAAAAAAAATCTTGGTTCCAACTTGAAGACAAGCGTGTTAAAAAAGATATCGTTAAATTAATATTTTGCTAAATTAATAAAATTTGGCTGAATGTTAATCATACAATAGAACCTCAATAAATTAATAATCTCGTTTAAATAATTTTTTTTTGATTCCAACTTGAAGACAAACGTGTTAAAAAATACATCGTTAAATTAATAGAATTTGGCTCATCTTGGCGGTATAAATTTATAGCGGTATATATAATTCAAAAAGATATTCAAACACAAAAATAAGTAAGACACTAACTAATTAAGTACCTCGTTGAATCCAAATGTCACCGTCCTTAACTCAGCGCCATCGGTATCCGTAATGCCAAGTTTTACGAGGGTTTGTAACGCAGGAACCGCGACATTAGGCACCATCTTCAGATCATCGGAGATTAAGAAGAAGCTTTGTCGGTTGTAAAGCTCCACAAGAAACATCATGAGATACCTCTATAGGAATTTCTATGTTCATCTTCTTACCACATCTGCATGTATCAGTATTACAATACATGCTTACAATATTTCGCGGTATAAAGCTGCTACAGTTCCTTGTTTCACAAGCAAAGTATCTGGTGGGCTGATTCTCGCCAAGATCGAGTTTTAGTTTACGACATTCAGACGCGAACGAACTTCTCGGATTGAGCAGCATCTGCTTACAGACATCCGTCCCGAAATAGCCGGTGCCGAGATTTTCTAAGCCGCTGTACAACGCCGTTAAGCACCCGATTGTACGGCCGTGCTTCTTCAGAATTCGAGCAATGGTTCCCAATGGCAATGTTAGAAAACTCAGCAATACGTCCGCGAAATCGCTGTCGATTGCTGCGAAGAGTACTTTGGTTTTCTGTTTATTTATCATTACTTTCAGAGTGAACTGATTACCAGCTGGCTTATAATTACCATAATACATTCTGCTGGCTTTGCTGTATATATTTTATTTTCAAGATTTTTGCGAAGCACCAATCTTTTTCTTTTTAAAGCCAAAAAAAATTACACTAAGAGTCGATTTTTTGCTGCCGAATTCAAGGAGTCTAATGGTTGACCTTCCATTTTCCTTGAATATTATGACTGAATACGTAGTTCTGACTTCTGAATGTGATATGCATACTTACTTCCACGTGGCATCTTACTAGCCATGGTCAAGTCAAACACGTTCTTAAGGGGAGTTTGAAAGATAAATTGTATAGTTTCAAGCAAAAGAAAAGGTTATTGAAACTAATAAAGTATAAAGAGTAAATTGCAAAAACTACCCCTGTATAATCCTCAATTGCTACAAAAGTCCCTATGTTATAAAAATTAGCAAACCCCCCCCCCCATATATTTTTTTTATTAGCTCACCGCACCTATTGTTATTTTAGTCATTGACCAGGGATGAAAAGATAAATATACCCTTGTTAATAACATAAAATTAGAATTAATATATAATAGAGGCCAAATTGTAATTTTACTAAATTTATGAAACTTAATTAGGTGACTGAATTGTAATTTTCCACACACACTACGCACAAGCTGGATTGCACAGCCCCCTGCCTCCTCTGCGGCGGCGCCGTCGACCAGTTCCACACCAGCCTTTTCTTCTTTCGCAACCTCTAAAACCATCGTCGGAGAAGACGATAAAAAACAGAAAAACAATGGGAGGTTTGGATCTGGAGGCATCAGATACCTTGCTCTTCTCCTCCACTGTTTCGTGAGGTTGCCGGTTTCGACATAGCTACAGGATTTGAGAGAATTAGGGGCGGCTCCGGCGGCGGTAGTGACCGTGGTTGTTGCCTTTGCTGTTTTGAGTTCCAGAAATTTTGGGGAAGAAGAGAATTAGGTGCTGGATTTTTTTTTTCCCAACTTGAGAGGGTGATAGGGAGAACGATGATGATTAGGATTTAAGATTTTAAAAATTGCTATTTTGGTCCTTTGAATTTGAATTATTTATAATTATATCAAATTTAACATACATTTTTTATTTATATGTATAGAAGGATGTTTATGTCATTTTACCCCCAAATTTTCAAAAAGAACTGCACAACCCGCGCGTGAGCACCACGAGCAGCTTTAATGGACTTTTTTGCCTTTGACTTTTAATCATAGGGGGGCTTTTGCTAATTTTTATAACACAAGGACTTTTTTAACAATTAAGGATTACACATGGGTGGTATTTGCAATTTACTCAAAGTATAAACATAGAACAACATGTGTAAAACAACGGAGGCAAAATGAGTTTTTTAGTAATGTAAATTTATTGGTTTAGAGATTTAGTCCACTACGTTTTAAAATTAGAATTTTAGTTCTATAAGTTACAAAATTTGAGATTTTTTGTACTATGACCTGCTATAATAGATACTTCAAAGGTGGGTTGAATGAGTTGACATTTAATATATAAAAATAAATAGATTAAACATAAAATCGATGATGTGCCTCGGATAAGAGCTCCTCAAAGTTTCCAGTCATAACAGACGGAAAGAAGATGACCCAAGGTGACAAATTTGAATTGAAATGGCTGAAGGGAGAAGAGGGCTTTTCTGAAAGGTGAAGGGATTGAATTGAAAATGTTGAAAACTTTCATTTTGGGGCTTATTTTTGAAATTTCTAATGCAAAGGGCATTTGGGTCTTTTCATGTCAAAAATCAACCCCGAGTCGTGTATATGGCGAGTGTGTCACATGATCGACTCGCTGGGGCCTTATTGGCTTTGACTAACTTCAATGGGGGGTCCATGCTAAGTATTTTTACATAGGGACTTTAGTAGCAATTAGAGATTACACAGGGGTGGTCAGTGCTAAAAGCTCTATTTATATATTAAGACAAAATGCACTTCACCCCCTATAAATTTTCCATTTTCGCAATTTTCCCCTCTGCAAATTTAAAAACTGAATCCCTCTTCAAAATGTTATTTTTGTTGCACTTTGCGCCATAAGCCAATTTTTGGTGGACATTGTGCAACAAAAATAACATTTTAAAGTGGCAATGTACAAAAAGATAATGTTTTTAAGGGGTAACGTACAACAAAAATAACATATAAAGGGACAGTGTGCAACAAAAATGCTCAAATGCCATGAATAATCCATTAAATATTTGCTATCGGGGCAATGTTTCACAAGAATAACATTTTGAAGAGGGACATTCCCTTTTTAAAATTTTGAGGGGTAAAGTGTGAAAATTAGAAATTTTTAGGGAGTGATGTGCAATTTGCCCTATATATTATTTGACCAAAATATTCCCATCAATTTTTCTAGGAGTAGTTTTAAGTAGTTCGATATTTCGCGAGTCTTTCTATTTGTGTAAATTGTAATAGGTGTTAATGTTATTCAATGAGTGTTGTTTATACCTTAATTAGAATGCTACAAATTTATATAACACGGACATGGGAAGAAGGTAGACACGGCGAATAGGAATTTATATAACACGGACATGGGAAGGTAGACACGGCGAATAGGGAAACGGACACGGGAAAATTCGTTTTCCAAAAAGTTGGATATGAGAACATGGGGAAAATGTAAAAAATATTATAACGTCCATTATTTTATTGTTACAAAAAAGTGTCCCAAGAACTTTTAAATATTTACAGAAACACCCCCAAAACCTTTCCTACTTGTGTCATGGAGTTTTGGTTTCCAAAAGGACCAAAACGTTTAAGAAACCTGGAAACGCGTGTGGTAGAAGTTTCGGTGTATCAGCGTGTTATAGAAGTTGACTCAAAGGAGCAAATATATTTAGAAAAAAAAAGTCTTCCCTTGTGGTCCACATATTTAGAAAAAAAAGTCTTGTACGTGTGGATAATACTTGCACACATCCAATGAGCTTCGAGTACAAATTGTCAACGAAGTTAAAAGCAAAGTCTAAGTTCTAACATGTGCAAGATGTTATACATGGGACCATGGTTCGCCGGAACGGTCGGAACGGCCGTTCCGGAACGGGAACGGTGCCCTCCGTTCCGGAATCCGTAACCAGAACGGTGTTTGCACCGTGACTCGTCGGAACGCCGAGAAATCGGTGGGATGGGCGAGACGGAGCCACGGAACGGCCCCGACGCGGCCGGAACGGCACCGGAACGGTGCCGGAACGGGAAAAAAGATTTTGAAAAAAAAAAAACTAATTTGACTAAAAAAATAAGGAAAAAAAAACATAAAAAAATAAATAAATAAGTAATATGATGATGGTGGCCACGTTAGATAATGAAGTCTATGAAGATTCCCCTGAATCTCACAGATCTTTGGCCTCACTTTTCAATTATATCCTACACAATTCAAGTTCGGTATTCTACTTGGTATTAATATTGCTTGTATTTTCATAATATTCGTTGTAATATTTATTTTTTAAATTGTAATGATATTTTGCATATTGTTGAATTGTAATATTATTATTAAAAACATATTTAAAATATATTGTATTTTTATAACAATTTAATTAAAATGTGTCCGTTCCGGCCGCGACGCAGCCGCGACGTTGCAACGGAACTGGAACGGCAGTGTCCGCGACAATGCACTGTTCCGTTCCGGCGAACCATGCATGGGACACATAATTTTATTCAATTTTAGCTGCTATAACTTCAATTCATGGGGCCACATAATTTTGTTCTTGTTCCACACACATAGTACGTATATGCAACTCTTTTAAGTAGATGAAGCCGAAAACACAAACATCACTTGCTCAAGGAAAAATAAAATGTTCGAACGTAAAGTAATTAGTGGTAAATTCCTTGTATTTATTCTATTACTATGCATCGAATATTGTCGTGTATTTAGTTCCGGAGATGAAGTAATTGAGTGCATGGAGAGTGAGAGAGAAGCTCTTCTCGGATTCAAGAAAGACCTGATACATTCCGGTGATATTCTTTCGTCGTGGGGAATTGAAGATGATAAAAGGGATTGCTGCAAATGGGAAGGCGTTGAGTGTAGCAACATCACGGCTCACGTGATTCGTCTACGGCTTGATTTTTTCCGACTCGTAGGTAACAATATCAGTTCTTCTTTGCTTGAGTTGCATTATCTGGAATATTTGGATTTGAGTTACAACGATTTTGGAGGGAATGTTGGCTCCATGAAACAGTTACGACACCTCAGTCTCGTTAGCTCCAATTTTTCTGGGGTAATTCCTCCTCAACTAGGGAACCTTTCGAACTTAAGGACCCTTGATCTCTCCCTTAATAATTTACGGTCCGAGAATCTCGATTGGCTTTCTCACCTTTCGTTGTTGTCTCGGCTTGATTTAACTGGTTCCAACTTGAGCGATACCAATTGGCTCCATCATATATTAAAGCTTCATTCTCTCGAGGAATTGTTGTTGTCTAACTCAAACATTCAAGATGTACTTGTTACTACATCTTCTGTTGTTGATGATGATTATCTCTTTGTTAATTCTTCTTCTCTATTTCTTTCTGTCATTAATCTATCGGAGAATAACCTCACTTGTAGTCATGCAATTGAGTGGTTATTTAGACCGGATCGTCTGAGGGAATTGTATCTTGGTGGCAATAAATTGAAAAGGTTGCCTGCAAGTCTTGGCAAGTTTTCCAAGCTCGAGACTTTGAACGTCAGTTTTAATTCATTGCAAGGCGAAATAACCGAATCCAACTTAACGAGACTTCATAGATTGAAGTGGTTGGATTTGTCCTCCAATTCATTGACGTTTCACATTAGCCCTGGTTGGACTCCTCCTTTTCAGCTAGATTATCTAAGTCTATCCGGTTCCAACACGGGCCCGCATTTCCCGAAATGGATTCGAACTCAGAGTAACGTTAATTCGCTCGATCTTTCTGGTAATAATATATCTGGTGAATTGCCTAAATGGTTTTGGAGTTTGTCTCCTTCACTACGAGCCTTAAATCTCTCCCATAACCAGATAAGTGGTACGATTCCTCATTTTATCTCATCAAAACTAACAAGTATAGACGTTAGTTTCAACAACTTTTCGGGTCATATACCATTATTACATCCCAATATCGAGACTTTCCAACTCTCTCAGAATATGTTTTCAGGTTCGATTTCATCTATATGCACTACTACAACTACCCTGGAACTGTTTTCGCTTGACCTATCGAATAACCAGTTAACAGGAGAGATTCCCAATTGTTGGGAGTACATGTATCAGTTAACATTTCTCAATTTGGGTAACAATTATTTTTCTGGTGAAATTCCACGTACTTTGGGCTCCGTCTCGAGTCTCAAGGTAATGCGCTTGCGCAATAACAACTTGTGGGGGGAGTTGCCTTCAACTTTGAATAATTGCCAGCAATTGGAATTGATTGATATCGGAGGAAACATCTTAACGGGAAACATCCCTTCATGGATAAGTGCATTCTCTCAAGACATGGCATATCTAATCTTGAATGAAAACAGATTTTACGGTTCTATCCCTCCGGAAATATGCAATCTTACTCGGATCCATGTGTTGGACCTTTCTAGAAACAATTTCTCAGGACAAATTCCACACTGCTTCAATAGTTTTACTGAATTGCTTGACAAGGGGACAACTAACGGTCAAGATCTCTTGTCGTATTACTATTACGTTGAGTCTGCATCGGTTCAATGGAAAGGTCGGGAGTCCATGTACAGAAAAAGAACTTTGAGACTGCTTAAACTGATTGATCTTTCAAGCAATAAATTAGTCGGAAATATTCCTGAAATAATTTCGTCTCTCAAGGGATTAATTTCCTTAAACCTCTCGAGAAATAGCCTGACAGGAAACATAAATCCGGACATTGGTCAAATGGAGGTGTTAGAAGTTCTTGATCTATCCAGAAACCAACTCTCCGGCACAATACCAATCAGCATGGCGCAATTGCATTCTTTGGCTGTTCTTGATTTGGCGAACAACAATTTATCAGGCAAAATCCCATCAAGTACCCAACTACAGAGCTTCAATGAGTTTTCCTATGCCGGAAATCCCAAACTATGCGGGCCCCCTCTCGCGTCTTGCCCGGGAGACAAACTAATCCCGGACACCACCGATCAAGGGAAACGTAATAACAAAGAGATCAAAGACGATGAAGATGATGGTGGCTTTATTCTGACGAGGATATCTTTTTGGAAAGAGGTTGGAATATCAATTGTCTTCGGTTTTATTGTTGGGTTTTGGGGATTTGTTGGTTCTTTGTTTGTCAAGAGATCATGGAGAATTGCATATTACAACTTCTGGGGTCGTGTCGGAGATTGGTTCTATGTTACTACAATTGTGTTTTTCAGAAAACTTAGGCGCGCCTAAATTGATCAAGGTAAACTATATACACATATAATTAACTCTCTATATATACACTCCTTGATCTTTAAACAACTTAATTTTATTGAAACAGTAATTTGCTTTTATTCTTTTTTTTTTTTCGTCGTTCGGAATGTAGGTTGTATGCCTTGGAGCGCGAGCTAGAGGTGTGGACTAAACACCAGAGCTGGTACCTTGGTCTAAATAACTGTAACATATATGTCTTTTTTCATGGTACCTTGTTCTTCTATATTTTAAATCGTAGTCTTTTTCTCTGCTTTGATTACCGGTGACTTGTTTAGTAAATTGTGGTCTATTTTGGGTGGTATATGAGTGAGCTTAAATATGTTGAAAACGTATTTTGTGTGTGACTCGATGAAATGATATTTAAAGATGTTAGAATATTGTACCAATCGGATTTTCGGGAAGACCAGACACACTAACAATAATGAAATATCAACGCATCACCGATAATGTGGGATAATTACACTTTTCGTCCCTATACATTACCACTTAAACGATTTTTGTCCCTAAACAAGATGAAGTTACAATTTTCGTCCCTAAACATGTCACTTTTATGCCGTTTCTGTCCCTCCGTCCACTTGTCCAGTTAGTTTGGACGGAAAATCGCACGTGCGCCGCACGTGACACACAAAAACATCTGTAGTATTTATTTAACTCATTTGAAGAATGGTTTTGAGAAGCAGTATTGATTATAGAGCCGTTGAATGGTTCTGAAAATATACATGTGTACGGCAGACCCACATTAATTTCAAAAAAAAAAAAAAGAGAATTAAAAAAAATGATGGATGATTAGATATAGAAAAATGATGTTGCAATGACAAGAATGTGACAAGAAACCAACAATACAATGAAATAAGGTGAGTGAGAATTGAGTTATTTCTTAATTTTCCCACCTTAATCTGCCATTGCTTTCACCTTGATCTTACTCACCACACTATATATAAACCTCACCTTCTCATTCATTCTCTTCGTCGATAAACCTCCAGTAATCGATTCGGTTTATTTTGTTTGTGCGTCATTCATTCTCTTCGTCGATAAACCTCCAGTAATCGATTCGGTTTATCGCACAAAATTAGAGATGAAACAGTTGGTACTTATCCTAGTCCCCTTACTTTTCATTTTCTTTGCCGCACTAACTTCCGGCCAGTCCACGGCGGCAGCCGCCCCTGCAACGCCAGGCCCAACCAACCTGACCGCCATCCTCGAGAAAGCCGGCCGATTCACCATATTCATCCGCCTATTGCAGAGCACCAAAGTGGCGGACCAGATCTACACACAGCTCAACAATTCAAACCAAGGCCTCACTGTTTTCGCCCCAACCGACGGCTCATTCTCCGGCCTGAAATAAGGCACACTCAATTCCTTCTCCGACGAGCAGAAAACCGAACTCATCCAATTTCACGTCCTCCCTTCCTATTTCTCTCCGTCGCAGTTCGATACCGTGAGCAATCCCCTGCACACGCAAGCCGGCAGCAGCGAAGAGATTTTCCCCCTGAACGTAACCGCCTCGTCGACGGGGAATCAAGTGAACATCACAACTGGAGAGACGAACGCGACGGTGGCAAATCGCCTTTATAAAGAGGCGCTCCATTCCCCAATATCACAACTGTAGATGTATTTTTGTGTGTCAAGTGCGGCGCACGTGCGATTTTCCGTCCAAACTAACTGGACAAATGGACGGAGGGACATAAACGGCATAAAAGTGACATGTTTAGGGACGAAAATTGTAACTTCATCTTGTTTAGGGACGAAAATCGTTTAAGTGGTAATGTATAGGGACGAAAAGTGTAATTATCCCCCGATAATGTTGAAAATTTTGAGTATTTGACTCAAATTTCGTTGAATATTTAAGTGGTTTAATTTAAATTCTCAAAATTATTTTTTGATGAATGATAAATTAATGGATCATTTAAAATATTTAAGTGTGAAAAATAATAAAGTGAAATGCCACCATAGAAAAAGATGGAGGTGTTAAAACACCTATTAAATTGAATAGGTGTGTAGTTAATGAGAACATGTGTGATACATTTTCATGAAATTATTTTCCTAAGAGTTGTGACTTGTGGTCATAACCTTTGAAAATCTATATATAGATTCCAAAATCCACTATTTAATTAATTGATTATTCACATGGAATTCAATACATTAATTGAATTCACATCTCATCATAGCATCTCATTGCATATTGTTGCACTACCAAGTCCTTTTCTTCGTGTCTTATAAAGTCCTAAACGTCGTTTCGTTCGCCGTGTTCCAATAATTGGTGTGCTACTTTATTGGAACTAAAATAGTCGTTGTATCTTAGGGGACAATTGTCGTACACCGAGAGCACTGCACGGGGCAAATTTGTCTTAAGGAGAAAGAACTGAGTTCTTGCCTCGACTACATTTTTCTTGTCAAGCTTATGTCCAAATTTTGTTCGTTCCCATTTCGAAATACACACAGTCACAAATAACAGATAATACAAATTGTGTCAAATGTGTATATGCTGATAATATATTATTATAAGTAGATCCAAACGGTATACTTCAATTGGGTGGATCGTTTAAAGAAAGCAAAAAATGGAAAAGAATAATACAAGAAATCAAGAATCATTGTCCTTGTAAGAATTCGGGAAAATTACAGTTTATGTCCCTAAACTTTACCATTAAAACGATTTATGTTCTCAAACATTTCAATCCACGAAGTATATCCTCAAACTTGCCACTTTTGATCACTTTATGTTCTGCTGTTAACGTCGGCAGCTAACTTCGACGGAAATAGCACGCGTGGCTCACGTGACGTCTATGTGGCCGTTAAATGTCGAGATGTACAACACCCAGTGCTTACTTGGTCGACGAAACGTGATGTGGAGCGACACGTCATTCTCCTCCCCTATTTCTATTCTAAAATCCCTAATTCTCCATATCCCCAATGAACCCGTAAATCCAATCCCTAAAACCCCATTTCGAATCCTTCAATTGAGGTGAAATTCTAAAATAGCAGAATATCCATGGCCATTTTTTGTGGTGTTTTACAAGCAAAATAGCCCAATAAACAAATGCCGAATGTTTCCTCGATTTCACTTTCATCTTCGGGCTGAAATATCATGTCTTCTTCCACTTCGTTGGGGAAGTCGGGGAGCTGGAATCCGTTCTTGGGCACTCTATTCTTGGCGAAAAAAGAATTATATGCAACTTTGACAGGTGCTGCATGTTTTTTTTTTTTCCGGAATTGGTTCATAAATTTTGTCGAACACCTTCTGGGCAGGTTCTGAAACTACTGAGTTCGGTAGAATTTGTGTCATCTTCACCATCCTTGTGCTCGCTTCATCGAGACCACAAGGGGCACAAGCATCAGCCGGCAAAGAATCACACGACCCCAACGTCATAGAGATGGAGTTGGGAGAAGAATTAAAGCTTCCTCTAAAATCTTTTTCAGAACCAGAAGAGGAGTCGCATTTACCTTCTTCCTCTCGATTGCAGGCATGTGTTTGCACGTGAATCTGCTGTTCTTTGAGAAGGTAAAACTCTTCAAATGTGAGAATGTTTGGATTTTTTATGGGTTTATGACTTCGATTTTAGTATGGGTTCGAGCAAGAATGCAGATTGGATTGAAAATTTTGGAATGAGAATGAAACGTGATTTGGGATTTGGGATTTGGGAGAGTGAGTTAGAGGAAATTAGTATATTCTTGTGCCACGTCAACATTTAATATTCAATATATTATTCCACGTCACATTTAACGGCCACATAGACGTCACGTGAGCCACGCGTGCTATTTCCGTCGAAGTTAGCTGCCGACGTTAACGGCAGAACATAAAGTGATAAAAAGTGGCAAGTTTGAGGACATATTTCATGGATTGAAATGTTTGAGGACATAAATCGTTTTAGTGGTAAAGTTTAGGGACATAAACTGTAATTTTCCCTAAAAATTCAGTCTTCAGTCTTCAGTCTTCACAGAAGTTTGAAGGCATAAGAACCAAACAGAACGTCTAATGGTAATAAACTCTGGAGGCATGAAAGAAAATTACTATGATATTTATGCTGATTTCAATTGAGTCCTTAGAACTTTCTATTTCAGCCCCGTATGATATCTTCAGATGAAAAGACGAAAAAACCATGCATCTTGGGTGCCGGAATATGTCAAGATTCGTCTGAAAGTTCGTCGTAGGTGGTTAAGTGAGACAAAATAACGAATTTGAGCATGCACATGCAATTTTTTTGGGTTTTTTGCAATAACTACCCATGTGTAATCTCTTATTGTCATACTTATCAAAAAAAAAAAAAATCTCTTATTGTAAAAAAAAACCAGTGTTAAAAAAATTAGCAAGACCCCCTATGAAATTTAGTCAAAGCCACTAAGGCCCGTAACGGCTTATCGTGTTCTGCACAAGCGAATTGTTGCGTCAGGGGTGCGTGTTTTGACCTAAAAAAACCTAAATTTTCTGTAAATAAAAATAATACAAATTTTAATAACCCTTGCTGTAGAGTATGTGGCCCAAATAAATTCTTTGTGAATGGCCCATTAAAATTCCACCTTGCAACCCACTTACGAGCAGCCCACAAAATTTGAGCCCAAAATTAAAGTCAGTCCAATCTCACTAGTTTTTCCCTTTTATTCTCTCTTGACCTTTTTTTTTTTATCTCGGTGTTTTGTTTTACAGCAGATTGATTATTCAAATCTGCCCCTTTTTTCTCTCAACAAATCTTAGTGATTTGTTACCTAATTCTTCGTGAATTTGGTGGATGATTTGGGCGTATAAGTGCACCCTTTTCTTTTTCTGTGTGAGTGACGAGACGAAAAAAAACCGAGAAAATAGAGACGAGAATACTTCGTGTATTTTGAGAGGGAAAAATAGAGTGGAAAGAGAGAACCTTTTTTGAGAAGCAAAGCTCGATTCTTTCGATGGATTCGAGCTTACTTCTTTAGGGATAAACCGGTGAGATTAGGGTTTGAATTTGAGTTTCGTTTTCTTCGTATTTTTCGTTGGAATACACTGTGTGTGTGCGTGTGTGTGGCTGCCGTGAGTGTTTGGAGGCCCCACTTGGATCTTGGACGAGGACTCGGAGATTGAGGACTGAGCCGGAAAATCGACAACCGCCGGAGCAGCCGTCGGAGGAACTTTCGTTTGCAATTCTGTGTGAATTGCTCGGTTTTGTCTCTTACCCTTATTTAATTTTTCCTGCATTAATTAAATAATGTTTTATTCTAGGTTAATTGAGCATTAATATTTTGTTCATAAAATATTGAACTGTTGCATTCTGCTTATTGTTGATTGTTGGTTTTGCTGATTGTTGATTGATGGCTGCCGTGGTTTGTTGCTGATTGGTGCCATTATAAATTGCTGTCATTGGATTTAATAATTAATTAATTGATTTTGTTGATTTATTATATTATATCATATTTTAATTATCTCTAATAAAATACGAATAATTTGATTTTGTGTAGTTTGTCTTCTCCGGACGGATACCCAACACTTGTAGAATTTTCAATTAAGTCCTTGCCAATTTCATAAACGCCCTCTCTCCAAATCATCTCATTGCGATCAAACTCTCCAGCATTTTCACGCACAACACACACAAAATGCTTCTCGGCGCCCGGACATAGACCGACAGATATTTCTTTTCCGGCCCCTTTTTCGACATAATTTTTTTCCAGTAAAAAATTTCCGACGGACCACTCTCTTCATGTTTCTCCAGCAAAAAACCAAAAATTTGTGAACCAACTGACATTCTGAGCTTCAGGCTCTTTCATGTGGTTAATTGCAAATACCACCCTTGTGTTGACAAATTCGAAGCTCACTGCACACACTGTGCTTTAAGGAGCTGAGTCAAGTGAAATGATAAAAATATCATATGGATTTTTTCAGCAATTAGTAAAGATATTTGATTTACAAATATTGTATGTATTTTTTTTTTATTTTTTAAACTTTGTAATTAATGTAATTACACCAAATTTTATAACATAATTAATTTTATTTTTTTATTTAATTTCGTAATATTAAAAGTTTCTATTTGTTCTTAATTTTAATTTTTTTTATATTTAAATTACATAAAGCCCAAAAATACCACCCTTGTGTTGATTGCAAATACCACCCTTGTGTTGACAAATTCGAAGCTCACTGCACACACTGTGCTTTTAGGAGCCGAGTCAAGTGAAATGATAAAAATATCATATGGATTTTTTCAGCAATTAGTAAAGATATTTGATTTACAAATATTGTATGTATTTCTATTTTTTATTTTTTAAACTTTGTAATTAATGTAATTACACCAAATTTTACAACATAATTAATTTTATTTTTTATTTAATTTCGTAATATTAAAAGTTTCTATTTGTTCTTAATTTTAATTTTTTTTATATTTAAATTACATAAAGCCCAAAAAGACAAAAAACAAAAAGAGAAAAAAAAAGAAAAGGAAAAAAAAAGGGGAGAGAGAAAGAAAGAAAAAGTCGTCTTCTTCCCGCTCCCCCGCCCCCCCCCCCCCAAATAAACACTTCATCCACCATTTCTCGAGCCCGCTGCTTCGCCGCCGCCCCACCACTACCTCACCCTTCCTGCACCACCACCTTCCTTCCAGATCCGCAACCCACCCACAATCGTAAAAATCTTTTCCAAATTCGTGAAATTTGAACAAGGAGTGGGTGACGGTGACACGATTTGCCTGCATGGGTCTCGATTGCCCTGACTTTGTTAACACACGACGTGTTGGTGAATTTTCTTTTTTGATATTGACAATTAGAGATAACACAGGGGTAGTATTTGCAATTAACTCCTCTTTCCTATATCAAACCAAAAAAGAGTTGAATATTTTCTCCAATTAAGAATAACACAGGGTCTGTGTTATTAGCTTTTTTTTGTTAAGGTGACAAAATGCAAAAACGCACACAAAATACACGTGATAAATGGCTACCTAAGGTGATATCTGTATGTCTACGACACCACATGCAATTGACACACTCATCCGGTGAAAACTACTCGAAGGTTCTTCTACTTACCGTCTAATTATCAAAATAGCTCTGTCGAGTCAATCCCAATAATCACAGATAAAGCACATAAATTGATCAAGTTCATGCACTAACAATCATAACAAGTATAAGAAATAATCATAAAATCATAATTGCATAATCTCAAGAAAACGGGTTCACCATCCCCACATAGGGTTCCGACAAAATCCTAGATTAAAAGCTTAGCTACTCGTAATACTTATGATAAATAAAATAGAATTAATAAAAGAAATAAGAAAAACTATGCTTGAGTCTTCGTTGATCTTCGTTCCTCGCTCCTCTCGCTCCAAGCTTGTGTCCAAAGTCGTGTCAAAAGTCCCCTAATTCGTGCTTGGTTTGGGCTTAAATAGATGTCCCAACTTGGTAGATGATTCTAGGTTTCCTTGTGTGTTTAAAAGTCCAAAATTGTCTCCAGCGTGATTTGGCACGGCCGCGCGAAAATCAGTGCAATTCTCGCACGGCCGCGCGAGAATCGCCGAACCTTCTGCCCAAATTCTGCATTTGGCACGGCCGTGCCAAAAATAGGCTAATTTTGGCACGGCCGTGTGGGCCTGTTTTCAGCCAATTTCAGCATATTTTTGATTATTTCACTTTTGGCCCATATTTTCTCCAAATTTGCATTTTTGACCCCAAACTTTTCCAATTCTTCAATTTATACCTAAAATACAATAAATCAACTTTTTAACCACCAATTATCGTTAAATCACACCAAAAGCTCAAATAAAAAGGTACAATAAAGTATAAAAATATATACTTAACAGCTGGTATGGGGTCGCTATCGAGATGCCTGGTGAAAGGGCTAGATCCTGCGAGATCTCGCGTTGGTCCACTCCGCAAGGCTTTTAACTCGTCCATATCGCGCCTCAGACTGTCAACCTCCGTCCTGACGCCATGGCTGTTGCCTTCTCGATTCTCAGAATGGCTGTCGCATTCATCCTCAGCTCGCCCTTCATTCGGGGAGCGTCTAAGATCTCTCCTAGGCCGGTTGTCCTGGGGTAAGGATTGAGTGTAGTTCCGAATGGCCGCGGTGATCATGGTTTCCACCTCGTCTCTGGTGTATGTTCGTTCATTGGAGGCTTGAGCCGGGGCCGTGACTGGTTTTCTCGAAGCAGCTTCGCCACTCTGGAACTCGAAAGAGGGGCTACTCGAGATGAAGGGAATCCGACCTTCCTTTTCAGGCGTGGCTAGGCTACATCCTGATTTGTCCTTTAAGACGGACGTCGGATCAGTGGGCGTATCGCGAGCCGCTGCATCTAGTTCCTTCTGCAAATTTCGGGCAGTGGTGTCTCCTTCTTCCATTGTTCACTACGTTTATAGCTCAGATCTGGACTTCCGGGGGCAGATCTGATATTTTCCCGGAAGTTGTTTCCAAAACTTCTAGATCTTTCCCACAGACGGCGCCACTTGATTTGGTCCGTGGGGCTTCCGTCTTCCTCAAGTCACCTTGGTCCGTACTCCGGTGAGTGTACCTGCAACGCCGGGAGGGGTTCCCGGCGGGAGAGCTCCGACGATCAAGTCAGTGATCGGAAAAGATGAATATGTGTATGCAATGTAGTAGTAAATAATGTATTTTTTTGTGTGTGTATGTGTTTGATGATCCTTCTATTTATAGATGAGGAAATCTTGGCCTCCTAGGTTTCCTTTTTTAGGGTTTGCTCCCTCCTCAAGTCAAGTGTTTGGGCATTGGGCCTGCTTTAGGTCATGCTTATGCTGGAATACGAGTCATGGTGTTGCCAGCTCGTTGTTCGGAGGTCGCCGCTTGACGTCGAGTCTTATAATAGTAATTTGGCTTCTCTCAATTTGTATTTTGCTCATCTCGTCATAATGGCCCGTATCAAATATATTGATTTCTACTACCTTGATGCATTAGTACAATGGAAGGGTCGGGAGGCCGAGTACAGAAAAAATATTCGACTTCTTAAACTGATTGATCTTTCAAGCAATAATTTAGTCGGAGACATTCCTGAAACATTTTCATCTCTCAAGGGATTAATTTCCTTAAACCTGTCGAGAAACAGCTTGACAGGAAACATAAATCCCGACATTGGTCAGATGGAGGTGTTAGAAGTCCTTGATCTATCAAGAAACCAACTCTCCGGCACAATACCCGTCGGCATGGCACAGCTGCATTCGTTGGCGGTTCTTGATTTGTCGAACAACAATTTATCAGGCAAAATCCCATCAAGTACCCAACTACAGAGCTTCAATGAGTCTTCCTATGCCGGAAATCCCAAACTATGCGGGCCCCCTCTTGTGTCTTGCCCGGGAGACAAACTCATCCCGGACACCACCGATCAAGGGAGACATAATAACAAAGAGATGAAGGACGATGAAGATGAAGGTGGCTTTATTCTGATGAGAATATCTTTTTGGAAAGAGGTTGGCATATCGATTGTGTTTGGTTTTATTGTTGGGTTTTGGGGATTTGTTGGTTCTTTATTGATCAAGAGGTCATGGAGAGTTGCATACTTTAACTTCTGGGGTCGTGTCGGAGATTGGTTCTATGCTACTACAATTGTGTTTTTCGGAAAACTTAGGCGCGCCTAAGTTGATCAAGGTAAGTGTAAATAAGAATTTCAGTATTGTTTCTTATCGAGTACTTTAAGATCTAAGTTGTTGTCAGTTTGTTTACAATTATGTTGTCCAATTTAGATTGTTAATGGCACTAATGCCTTCGATACCTGTTTTATCAATAGTTTGAAACTTGTGGTTTTGATAATTCCATATTGTATAATAACATATCGCATTTTTATTCCAAGTAATAATTCCCGAAAAAGTATGATTCTATCTTACAGACGTGATAGTCCACTATTGTCACAAA